CTAAATTTTCTGGTCCTAATCAATCATACAAAATTAAGATTGACTAATGATTTATGAATTCTGCTAATGTCTTTTTTTTTTAATAGAAATTCTTAGATTGTGAAGCTTTTTAAAAAATTTATACATCTAAAAATCCATCAAGAAAGACATTAATCTCTTAATGAAATATCTTTCAATGCTTCTCAAATAATTTAGTAAGATACATCGTCTCTTGCTTTTTGGAATTTTGGAGGAAATATATATATTTTAATTAATATAATTCTGTCCTTTTGTTACAGCAGTAGCTTTGTGGTTAAGCATTCTTTAGGGTCCACTGCTGATCATTTTACAACCTTGGTCTTCTTATGTCACATGTATGGGGCTTTCTTTGTTCTTCTGAAAATTAAGTTGGGTAAGACCTTAGGGCCTACTGTCAATCTTAGTCAGAAAAGTATGCTTGTCTATTATGCTTGCACTTAAGCTTGTCCTTAAACAGATGTTTCTGTGGCTAAAAAGAAGCTTGATAACCTCTAAACTAACTTGTCTCAAAGGTGTCTCCTAACTCTAATTTTATATAATTGCTGTGATTTCTAATCTGAAAACTTCAAGACTCATCAGCAACTAAACCATTTAATTTGTTTTTCTTCACAGTTTGAGAAATACTAATGTAATCAATGCAGTGATTTTCAAAATTATTTAGCAGAGTACTTTTTCTTCCCCTAACTAAATCTTACAGATAGAAACAATTCAATCCTATTGTCAGAGGAAAACATACAATGTTTGCAGAATCTTAAGAATTCTTCTGTGTTTCACAGTTTTCTGGAACAATTTGAAAACCACAGCTTTAGTGAGTGTCTTAGTTACCCAGTGCTGCCATAACAAAATATACCACAATTGAGTACTTGTAAAGAACAGTAATTTATTTTCTCACAGTTTTTTTTGAAACTGTAAGTCCAAATGAGGGCATCCATGCTAGGTGAGGGTCCTTTTTTATACATAGCCCCAGGAGTTCCTAGAAGTTCTTAGCATTCCCTGGTGTTCCCTGGCATTGGTTGGTATTCTTGGTGTCTGTTTCCCTCATATGTGTCTCTGTGTCTATTCTGCCTTTTTTATAACTGAGACATGATTAGGATTAGGACCCACATTGGCATGATCTTGTTAACATAATAAAAGAAAAACTTTTTCAAACAGGATCACATCCACAGCTACAGGGTCTAGTACTTGTGCTCATGGGAGGTACAATTAAATCCACAACAGTGATCTTCTGTGTTGATTCATCTCCACAAGAATGAATAAAATGTAAAAAGCCACAATATTGTGTGTTAGTAAGGTTGTGGAACAAATGGAACTCTCATACATAATTGATAGAAAGTGTATATTTATATGACCATTTTGGAAGATTGTTTAATAGCAACTACTAAAGTTAAACATTTATATATCCACCAGAAGTGTGGATATATATTCTTCACAAATATACATGACATGTATATATATAAGAATATTTTGATAGCACTATGCATAATGAACGTGGCATCGAGATTGGAAGAAGAATCATTAACAACTTGCGACACGCTGGTAACACAACTTGGCTTGCTGAAAGTGAGGATGACTTGAAGCCCTTGCTGATGAAGATTGAACAATACATTCCCCAGTATGGATTACATCTCAATATAAAGAAAACAAAAATCCTTACAACTGGACCTATAAGCAGCATCATGATAAATGGAGAAAAGATTGAAGTTGTCAGAGATTTCACATTGCTTGATTCTACAGTTGACATCAATGGAAGCAGTCAGGACATCAGACGACGTATAACACTGGGCAAGTCGGCTGCAAAGGACCTCTTTCAAGTGCTGAAGAGCAAAGATATCTCCTTGAGGTGTGCCTGAAACAAGCCGTGATATTTGCAATCACCTCATATGCATGTGAAAGCTGGACAGTGAATAAGGAAGACTGAAGAAGAGTTGATGCTTTTGAGTTGTGGTGCTGGCGAAGAATACTGAAAGTGCCATGGATTGCTAAAAGAACTTAACAAATCTGTCCTGGAGGAAATGCAGCCAGAATGCTGGTTGGAAGCGAGAATGGCCAGACTTTGGTCACGATGTCAGAAGGGACCATTCTCTGGAGAAGGATGTCCTGCTTGGTAAGGTGGAGGGTTGATGAAAGAGGGGAAGGCCCTCAACAAGATGGATTGACACAGTGGCGGTGATGGGCTCAAGTATAGCAAGGACTGCAGAGCTGGTACGGACTGGGTGGTGTTTCGTTCTGCTGTACATATAGCTGGTGTGGGTCAGAGATGACTCAGCAGCACCTAACAACAACAACAGCATGCATAATAGCTACAATTGGAAATAATTCAAATGTCTATTAACAGGACAATGAATAAATTGTGGTATATGCATCCATTATAATTCTACTCATCTGTCAACTTGTCATACTGTGATGGTTTGCATGTTGCTGTAATGCTGGAATATATGCTACCAGTATTTCAAAGCCAGCAGGGTCATCCATGGCAGACAGATTCAGTGGTACTGCCAGACTAAGACAGACTAGGAAGAGGGACCTGTCAATCTACTTCTGAAAAAACTGTCCAGTGAAAACCGTATAAATAGCAGCCAAACATTGTCTGGTAAACTGCTGGAAGGTGAGCCCCTCAGATTGGAAGGCACTTAAAATGTGACTTGGGAAGAGCTACCTCCTCAAAGTAGAGTCAATCTTGATGACATGGATGGAGTAAAGATTTTTGGGACCTTCATTTGCTGATGTGACATGACTCAGAATGAGAAGAAACAGCTGCAAACATCCATTACTAATTGAAATGTGGAGCCTACAAAGTATGAATCTAGGAAAATTGGAAGTTGTTGAAAATGAAATGGAATTTTTGAAGAGTGATATCCTAGGCATTAGTGAGCTGAATTGGACTGGTATTGTCCATTTTGTATCAGACAGTCTATGGTCTACTATGCCAGTAATGACAAATTAAGTAGGATTGGTATCACATTCTTTGTCAAAAAGAGCATTTCAAGATCTATTCTGAAATACAGCATTGTCAGTGATAGAATAATATTCATATTTCTATAAAGATGACCAGTTGATATGACTATTACTCAAATTTCCACACTAACCACTAATGCTGAAGATAAAGAAATTGAAGATTTTGAACAATTGATGCAATCTGAAATTTATCAAACATGCATTGATAGTTACTAGTGATTAGAATGTAAAGGTTGGAAGTAAAGAAGAAGGATAACTATTGGAAGATAGGGCCTTGATGATAAAAATAATACCAGAGAGCATATGGTATAATTTCAAAAGACTAACAATCTAGTCATGGGAAATATTAACAACATATATGGTAACTACACAGGTGGACCTCACCAGATAGAATACACAGGAATCAAATTGAAAACGTCTGTGGAAAGAGATGATGGAGAAGCTCAATATCATCAGTCAGAACAAGGCCAGGGGCCAACTGTGGATTAGACCACCAGTTGCTCCTATGCAAGTTCAAGTTAAAGATGAAGAAAATTAAAACAAGTCCATGAGAGCTAAAGTACAGCCTTGAGTATATCCTACCTGAATTTAGAGACCGTCTCAAAATCAGTTGGTTACATAGAACACTAGTGTTTTGGCTACCTAGTGCTACTCTGACAAGTATATACCACAAATGGGGTGGTGTCAACAAACAGGAGTTTATCCTCTTACAGTTTTGGAGATTAGAAGTCTGAGTTCCAGGATCTAGAGTCTAGGGACTGGGTGAAAGCCCCTTGACCTTGGGCTTCAACTCTGCCTCTTGCTCCTGGCCCACTGAAGCTAGAGGCATCTCTTCACTCAGGCAGCTGCTAGCTGCTGAGGCTGACAAACCCGAGAAATTTGGAAGACAGCTATCTGGCCAACCTACTGGAAGAGATCTGTATTTGTGCTCGTTCCAAAGAAAAGTGATCCAACAGAATGAGAATTTATGTTATTAATATCATACACAAGTAAAATTTTGCTGATAAGTCAAAACAGGTTACAGTAGTACATAGGCAGGGAACTGCTAGAAATTCAAGCCAGATTCAGAAGAGGACATGGAATGAGGGATATCATTGCTGATAATGAGAGGGATTTTGGCTGAAAGCAGAGAATACCAGAAAGATGTTTACCTATGTTGTATTGACTATGCAGAGGCATTCAACTGTGTCTATCATAACCAATTATAGATAACATTTAGATGGATTGGAATTCCATAAGACTTAATTGAGCTTAGAATCTTACATAGACCAAGAGGCAGTCATTCAAACAGAACAAGGGGATAATGTACATTTTAAAATCAGGAAAGGTGTGTATAAGGTTTGTCCTTTCAGCATACTTAATTCTGTCTGTATGCTGAGCAAATAATCTGAGAAACTGGACTATATGAAGAAGAATACTACATCAGGACTGGAGGAAGACTCATTGACAACCTGTGTTCTGGAGATGATACAGCCTTACTTGGTGAAAGTGAAGAAGACTTGGAGCACTTACTGAGGAAGATCAAAGACTACAGCCTTCAGTATGGGTTATACCACAACATAAAGAAGAAAACAAAAATCCTTATAACTGGGCCAATAAGCAGCATCATGATAAATGGAGAAAATATTGAAGTTGTCAAGGATTTTATTTGGATTAACAGTCAGTGTCCATGAAAGCAGCAGTTAAGAGATCAAACAAGTGTATTGCATTGGGCAAATCTGCTGCAAAAGACCTTTTAAAAATGTTTAATAAAAAGAAAAAAAGTGAGTTACTTTGAGGATTAAGGTGTGTCTGACCCAAGCCATGGTATTTTCAGTTGCCTTATATACATGTGAAAGCTAGACAATGAATAAGGAAGACCAAAGAAGAATTGATAAATTTGAATTATGGTGTTCAAATTATGGTTGATGAAGAATATTGAGTATATGTACTATGGACTATCAGAAGAATGAACAAATCTGTCTTCAAAGAAGTACTCACTATGACTCGGAACCAACTCGACAGCACCCAACTACCATATTACTTAGTAATAAAAAGAACAAACTATTGAACAGTATGGATAAACTTTCAGAGAGGTCTAGTTTTAATTTATTGCTTATATTAATCATTCTTGCTTGACATAGAACTGTGATGTTTATAATGTTGTGAACCTAAAAAGTCAGACCAGGAGAGAACATATGATTCCACTTATATCAAGGTCAAAAACAGAGAAAAACTAATCATGTTGTTAGAAATTAGGATAGGGGTTATCCTTGGAGGAGACTAATAATTGGAAGTGAGCACAAAGTGGGTGCTGGCTACAAATAGATGTTTAAATTTATGACAATTCATTGAGCTGTACTTTTATGATTTATATCCTCTTATATATGTATATAATATTTTATTAAAAAGTTTACTGGGGGGCGGAGAGGACTGAAAAATGCTGGATGAACCATAGCTATTTTGTTTGTTTTTCTTTATGAAGGCATGCTTCCTAAGAGCCAAGTGACTGATACACTTGCCAAAGAAGGCCCTAGTTCCCCAAGGTATGAATTCTTGTTTTGCTTCTTTAAAGCTAAATCAGTTCTATATCAAAATACACACATTTTTAAAAAAATAAAATAGCTCTGGGTTTGATTTATTGCTTGCTATTAATCATGCTTCTTTGACACAAAGAACTGCAGTACCTCATTTATCAGGGAGAATGAGCTGTTCCATAAATGTGAAGTTTTAATATAACTGAAGTTTAATCCATTTGAAACATCAAAGTTTAAGATAATATTTAAATTTTTTCTGGATATAAAATATATATTCATGGTAGAAAACTTGTACAGAGAAATACAAAAGAAAGTGATAAAAGAAGTGACCGTTTTAATTCAGTCAGTCCTAGATAAGTATCCTTAACATTTTGTTTATTTCTTCCAGTTTGATTCATATACTGCCAATTTCCATATCCTATTTTTGTAAAATTGGCATCAGTATATCCTATGAATGATCTCCTATGTCATTGAATATTCTGCTAAAACATTTTTGTCTACATTCCATCATATGTCCATATTATAATTTAACTATTTTTGTATACCTAGTTTGTTTTGTTGATTTTTAATGGAAATCTTTCAAAACGTGTTGCACACCCTAATTATCTTAGTTAATTGTTAATGATATATATATTTTTTTCCTAACGTCATTTGAAATGCCCTCATTTACAAATACGTATGTTCTCTCCCTCCTTTCTCCTCATTGCCAGTCTATGATTCTAACAGCATCATCCTGCTATGTTTGTTAATTATTTTCATATGCAGTTTTAAATTAAGGACCTTAAGATACCTCTAGGACTTGCCTATGGGTGCCTATAGGTATTAAATGCAAAAACTGTATCAATTTGATCAATAGCTGTAGCAAAACAGAAGACAGTTATACCTTAAGTTTTACTATCAACTTATTAAACTACCTTGATGAGTTGATTTCTTTAGTAAAGAATTATGGATACAAGAATGTAGATTTCTTCATGCTCCTTATCAAAACATGTTGTGCTCTTTTATGACTTTGATAAAAGATGTTAGTAAAGAAGTATGTAACCTTTATAAAAGGTGTTTTGTCAAGAACAATTTTTGTTTTTACTCAAGTTGGAACAGACAAGGTATTTTAAATTTAGGAATAATGGTCAGTTACATAATGAAGAGCTGAACATGGTAAGTCCACTGTTGATTCAGAAAAAGTTTAACCTAGAGAAATATTTCTCACTGTAAGTTTTAAACATTTAATGATTTAATGTATGTTAATGAAATATGATTATTCATTCTTAATGTTTTACAGCTATGACTGGTTCCAAACAGAGTCTTTAGTCACCATTGTCATATATACTAAACACAAGGTAAACACATCATTTTTGTTTCCTTCCACCTGTTTTTATTGTTGTCATTGTTGTTTTGAGGGTATACACAGCAAAGCACACCACCAGTTCAGTATTTTCTACATACACGATTTGGGACATTGATGACATTCTTTGAGTTGGACAGCCGTTATCACCCTCCGTTTCTGAGGTGTTCTCCCCCCTTAACATAAATTCACTGCCTCTTAAGTTTCCTATATCTTTTGAGTTGCCAAAAAAAAAAAAAAGCATAGTGCATAAGGCAGGCATTCTTTACTAGTTAAGCTAAACTATTGTTTGGTTTTAAGTAGACTAGGGACATTTTTGGTTTAAGGTTTAAAGATTATCTCAGGACAGTGTTTCAGTGGACAGTCGTTCATCCAGCCTTTATGGCTCCAGGAAATCTGGAGTTTATGAGAATTTTAAATTGTCTTCTGCATATTCTCCTGTTTGATCCCCTATAGAATCCTTGATCAAAATGTCCAGTATTAGTAGCCAGGCACCATCCAGTTCTGATGGAATAGCAAAGGTGACAGCTGTTCCTGGAAGCAGTTAGCCACACACTCCATATCCTCCTCCTGTTCCTAACTCTTCTTCTTCATCTATTGCTATAGGTGGATAGAGACCCATTGTTGTACCTTGGGAGGAGCTCTGGTGATGCAGTGGTTAAAGCATCTGGCTGCTAACCAAAACATTAGCAGTTTGAACCCACCAGCCACTCTGCAGAAGAAAGAGGAGACAATCTGCTTCCATAATGATTTACAGCTTTGGAAACCCTATAGGACACTTCTACTCTGTCCTATAGGATCACTATGAGTCAGAGTTGACTTAGTGGAAGAGGGCTTGGGTTGTGCCTTGGATGGCTACTTGCAAGCTTTTAAGATGCCAGGCATTATACACTGAAGAAGGAGGTAAAACAAGCACCAAACATGCTCTTAGGCCAATTAACTGGGATGCCCAATTTCATGGGAAACTATGACCCCAAACCTCAAAACCAAGGAAACAAATCCCATGAGGTTTTTGGTTGTATATGCTACCAGGGCTTCTTTTTTTTTTTTTTTCCTAAGCAGTTTCAACAGCTACTCTTTCTGTTGTTGTATGTATATCTATCACACAGCTTTTGGTAAACACATCTTTAAAATCAGGGGAAAAAGAAAAATAAAAAGAATTATGTGCCACATACATCTGAACTCTTTTCTTGAATTAACTTATTAATGCCTCACAGTAACTATATGAGATAGATACTGTTGTTATCCTCATTTTATATTTGAGGAAATAGAGATTAAGTAATTTATCCAGCGTTGCACAGGAAGTGGCAGATTGGTCGGTTTGGGTCCCAGCATTCTGGCTCCAGACAGTATGCTGTTAATGACCATGCCATATCCTCTTTAAAAAAAAATTCTACAAACTGGACTAGGAAATAGTTTATATACTTTTCTATGATTTAAAAAAAAAAAAAAAAAAAGTGGATTTCAAACATGAGAATACCAGTTAACTTCATTATAATGTTCACTATTGAACGTAAGAGATTGTATTGCTATGGGTTAGTATGCTAAAACCACTAATGGGGCTCAGATACCCTCTTGAAACTAAAATTGAGGAGATAATCCACTTAGTAAATATTTATTTGACAGTACTTACTTTATTTGAGGTACTGTCTAAGGTAAGAGTGTAAAGATGGACCATATACATAAAGACTTGGCTTTCATGGGGCTAGTTAGGAAATCAGATAAATAAGCTGACAATTTACAACATCTCCAAACATGTGCTCCAACAACTGGCAAGGTTCCCACACATTGAGGAACTGTTGATTTAAAGACAAGTCTGATAGCTGGGAATCTTTGAAAATCCATGCTACTTTTATAGTAGCTGAACCGCATCTGAGCCAGTGGGGTCCTCTGACTAATGCAGCATGATTTGACCATTCTGCAGCAGTGACTTGCTCTGCCTGATGCAGCCAGGAGGGCCAGAGGCACTGCTTTTCTTTTCTTGCACTCCCTCTCACTATTATCTCCTCATCCAAAACTAAGAGGGTAAGGGCTACGGAGGTCGGGGTCTGCTCCTAAGAATAATACCAATGGTCCACAGAGGATGGATTGCTAAAGGAAGGGGAAAGGTACAAAGAGTGTGTTCAGTGTATGATATAAATGACAGATACCAAAGTACCTTGCACCAAGGCTATGTATAAATGGTTGATGTTGCCAGTTACCATCAAGTTGATTCTGACTCATAGTGACCCCATGTGTGGAAAGTAGAACTGCTCCCTAGGGTTTTCAAGGCTTGTGTCCTTCAGGAGCAGATCAACAGGCCTATTTCCCTAGGCATCACTGGGTGGGTTTGAACTGGCAGCCAGACTTTCAGGTAGTAATACCAAAAACCAAAACCAAACTCATTGCCATCAAGTCAGATCAGACTCATAGTGACCCCTTCTTCAGTTTCCAAGGAGGTATCACTATGGAAGTAGATTGCCCAGTCTTCCTTCTGAAGAGTGGCTGGTAGGTTTGAACCTCTAGCCTTCTGCTTAGCAGTCACATGCCTTAGGCAGTACACCAGCAGTGTTCCTTCAGCTAGTAATAGAACTCTTTTTTTTTTTTTTTTTTTTAATTTTATTGTGTTTTAGGTAAAAGTTTACACAGTAAATTAGTTTCCGATTCAAAAATTTGTACACAGATTGTTCTGTGACATTGGTTGCTCTCCCCACAATGTGTCAGTATTTTCCCCATTTCCACCCTGCCTTCCTCGTTCCCATCCATCCAGTTTCCCTGCCCACACTTGCCTTCTCATTTTTGCTTTTGGGCAGATGTTTCCTGTTTGGTCTCATATAGTTGATCTGAAGAGCACATTCCTCACAGGTGTTTTTGTTTATTTTATAGGCCAGTCTATTATTTGGCTGAAAGGTGACCTCCAGGAGTGGCTTCAGTTCCGGGTTAAAGGGGTGTCTTAGGGCGATAGTCTCGGGGGTTCCTCCAGTCTCTATCAGTCCAGTAAGTCTGGTCTTTTTATGAATTTGAGTTGTGTTCTACATTTTCATTCCATTCTAACCAGACCTTCTGTTGTATCCCTGGTCAAAACTGTTGGTAATGATAACTGGGTATCATCTACTTCTGATCACAGATAGAAGAGGCTGTGATTCATGTGGGCCATTAGTCCTTTGGACTAATTGCATCTTTGAGTCTTTCCTTTCTTTCTCTCTTTGCTCCAGGGGAGAAGAGACCAATAGTTGCTTCTTAGATGGCCACTCCAAAGCTTTTAAGACTCCAGATGCTACTCACCAAACTAGGATATAGAACATTAACTTTATGAACTGTGTTATGCCAGTTAACCTAGATATTCCCTGAGACTTTCAAACTAAGTGCCACAAGGTATTTGGGTATGTGTAGGAAGTTTCTATAATTGTATCCCCTATATGCTTTATTATATAAATGAATGTATATGCAGCACTTATAAATACATATATACAGATGCCTACAACTATACCTGTATGTGCACATGCACGTGCTCCTATATGCCCTCCAGCACCTGTAGAGTATACATATCTACCTATGTAACTGCTAACAGATTTTTAGTTGTTATTACTATTGTTGCAGCTTGTATATGTTATAGCATTGTTGTCCTTTATTCTTACATACCTCTCAGTGTCTTCATTAACCTTGATCACATTGTACCTACTTCCCTGTTACTGTGTATTGCCCTTCCCTTTACCAGAATTGACACATGTCTCTGGTAGCATAGCGCCTAAGGCATTTGACTGCTAACCAGAAGGCTGGCGGTTCAAACCCACCAGCCACTCCCCAGAAGGAAGGTTGGGCAATCTACTTCCATAGTGATACTCCCTCAGAAACCCAAGGAGGGGTCACTGTGGGTCGGATCCGACTCCACGGCAATGGTTGCGTTGCGTTACTATCTAGTAAGTGATTCTCCCTCCCTCCACCTCATCCCTGGTAATCATCAAATAATGTTGCTTTCTTTGTGTAAACCTATTCTTGACTTTTTAAAAAGTAGTGTCATACAATATTTGTCTTTTTGTGTTTAACTTATTTACTCAACATAATGTCCTCCAATTCATCCATGTTATATTTTGTGGTCTAATCATTATTCTTTATCATTATGTAGTATTCTGTTATATATATATGCCACATTTTGTTTACCTGTTCTTCTGTTGATGGACACTTAGGTTGTTTCCATCTTTTTTCTTTTGTGAATAATGCTGCAATGAACATGGATGTGCATATGTCTATTCATGTCACTGCTCTTATTTCTGTAGGATATATATGTAGAAATGAGATTGCTGGATCATATGGTATTTCTATTTCTAGCTTTTTGAGGAAGTGCCATAGCATTTTCCATAGTGGCTGTAGCATTTCACAGTCCCACCAGCAATATATAAGAGTTCCAGTCTTCCCACAACTTCACAAACATTTGTTGTTTTCTGGTTTTTTGATTAATGCTATTTTTGCAGGGGTGAGTTAGTATCTGATTGTATATTTGATTTGCTTCTCTAATGGCTAAGGAGTTCTGGTGCTACAGTGGTTAAAACATTCAGCTGCTAACCAGAAGGTTGGCAGTTCAAACCCACCAGCCGCTCCGTGGAAGAAAAATGAGACATTTGGCTTCTGTAAAGATTTACAGCCTTGGAAACCCTGCAGGGCATTTCTGTTCTTTTCTGTACAGTCACTATGAATCAGAATCAACTCGATGGCCGTGGATATGCTTTTGTAAATGGCTTATAATCACAGGCATCTCTTCTTGGGTTCGTTAGCCGCCTCAGTGTCTTCCTTTGTGAAGTATATGTTCATGTCCTTTGCCCATTTTTTGATTGGCTCTTTTTATTATGGAGTTGTTGATGTTTTCTATATATTTTAGAAATTAGACCCTTGTCAGATATGTTATTGCAAATTTTTTTTCCCAGTTTTTAGGTTCTCGTTTACTTTGTTATTAAATCTTTTGATGAGCATAAGTATTTAATTTTTAAGAGATCCCGTTTATCTCGTGTTGTTTGTGCA